GCTTCCATTAGGGTTGGGAGGTTGGCCCAGCCTTGGTGCTCGTCACTGCTGTCTGGTCCAAGTTGCCCTCAATACTAGTAGGGTGATGGTCCTGAGTGTTGGTCACACTGAGGTAGGATAGTAGGGACAGCGGATGCGTTGGGAGTACTAACGTGGGGATGGGTACGGTAGGTGGCCTATCATGTCAGAACAATCATTGGCTGCTGCGACCAGCAATCACTGCGGGTCTGGTCCTTGGCCTCTACAACACCCTGGGCTTTCAAAAAAAAAAAAAAAAAAAATGGATCTTCTGCTAGAACGTAGAATAATACGGCGCCATATGTTTTGTCTTTTGTGCATGCAGTGAGGAGGCCCTTAGGGTCACTGCAAATGTGTAGAGTTAGAATGAATCTTTTGCTAGAACGTGGAATAATACGGTGCCATATGTTTTGTCTTTTGTGTATGTGGTGAGTAGAGGCCCTTAGCGCCACTGCACGTATTCCTAAGAAAAGAAAAACGAGAAAACAAAAGAAAAATAAGAAAACAAAAAAAAAGGAGAAAACAAAGAATTAGTGACCCATAATTGTGATGCACAGACCTGAATTCGAATCCAGACTATATATTCTCGACCCACGCAGACAGACTATAATTCTAATGTCCTTCTCTGCTCCACGAGGGGTCCTTGCTAATACATAGGGGCCCTTCGAAAATGAGACTGGACGAATAGATTGGAGCATTTGTAAAAAAAAAAAAAAAACAGGACATGCACCCGCATACACACACATGTGCTCACAGTGTTGGGGTATGGGGTGGCCCCAACTTTTTTCCTTCTAGCAGTTTGATTTTCCGAGGGGAGGGGCATGTTTAGTCACCCCACCCTGTTATTAGGGGTCAAAATTTTTAATGTTTTTTCCTGTTTTTTGTGTTTGGGCGTGTAGGGCCACGTGTCCGAGGCCCAAGACGCCCATCCCGTTTCTTCGGATTCAACGGGAGACCCCCGTTTTTCCGTTAAAAGGGATTCAACGGGGCCCCTGGGGCGATTCAACGAGGTCCAACGAAATTTAACGGCCAAGTTGTCTATTGTTCGGACACACAACTATAGGTTTTTCTACAATTGTCTCAGCCATTAATCTTTGAGTCACCTCTTCATCATCTTCCACTTCTTCCACTTGTACAGACGGTTCTTCCTTTTCTTGCCACATTTTGGACATTGTTGGTGGAGTATGTTGCTCACTTACCCGTCTAATGGCCTCTTTCCGTGTACCACGTGGAATTTTAGATCGATATAATTATCAAACTTATCGTAGATATATCAAACCTTCCTTCTCATCTAACATCATAATTTGGCAGTGACGTGTGGTATGACCCACTATCCCGCAATGCCTACAGGTGACATTCCGCCAATCAAAACACACTCGTTTGTACCCCTGACCACCTTCCTGGCCATCTTGACCATTCTGGCCATTCCACCCACCACCGCGGCCACCACCATTACGTCCTGCCCCTCGACCTCACCATTGCGTCGTCCGCCACCTTCGCGACCCCCTTGGCCATGACCATCATTCCCTTGGGCGCCACTGCCTCCTTGTTCTTGAGTTCTCCCTCCAGCCACAGTAGCTTGTGATGCTTGTTGCGCAAGAGGTTGAGGTGGCCCCATGGGCCTGTTTTGGGCCGTTGGGAAGCTTGGCAGTATCATACTCATTTGAGGACTTGGGTAGGATCCAAACTGGCTTGCCACGGTTTGGCCACTCATTGCCCAAGGCAAGTACGGATTATACATCGGTCAAGGTCCCATCGGACCAAAAGATGGCCATAACGCATAAGACTGGGGCCCCACCAGTGATGGTCCCGCCCCACTTGACAGGGTTCCCACTTTGGGTTGGGCCACTGCCAAAGCCTAATGCGCTTGCCCTTTTCCTGAGCCTTGTCCCCCTTGTACAAGATTTCGCTACTTTCGTTGCGCCTTAGTTAATCGCTGGGGCTCTGACTCCTCCTATTCCTTGTATTCCTCCTCTTCAACTTCCTCTTGTGTCGGCTCCTTTCCTTTTCCTTGGACAACAGTCACAACCTTTCTTTGGACCACGCGCTCTTTCTTTACTCCCAACTGTGTGAGCACGTCCTGTACGATCTTTCGCACATATGAGACTCTTGTCGTGGTTGACTATCGCTCTGTGTGGTGGCCAGAGAGGCCCCTGAATCAAAGGGGTGATTCAGTTGGACGACTTGTTGGAAAGCCGAACTTGGCAATAGTTTCTGGAACGTCTCCTTGGTCATCCGATCCTGAACTAATATCCCCTTCACCTTCAGAGTTTCCTCCCATCTCAGCTGCTTCTCTATCTGAATCTCGTCCCAACCGCGCCTCCCTTTCTACTACCCAGACCTTCTCTGAGATAGGATGCAGTTCCATCTTCAGCATCATGATGTCGGGGATAGTAGCGAATCCCTCATCCAACCATTCCGTTGAAGAGGGAAAAAACGGCTTTGCTGATTCCCAAGATTTCATGTGGTCCCGCACCCACTTTATCAAGCCCGGCTCCTTGAGATTCTGAGAGTTCAGTTTTCAAAAACTTTTCCCCCTACCCGATAGGTGGGTTAGGACCAAATCCACCAGGGCTAGATTGTGATCCGACATAGGATGAGCCACGTGTCTAACCTACGTAACCCCTTGCACCAATCCCTTGCCCACTAGACAGTCGTCTAGCCTTCTTCACGTAACTTCGTCTCGGTCTCTGTTGATATTAGAGAACCAAGTAAGGTCGGGGTCCTCCGGGTTCAGTGCTCTGAACTGATCTGTCAAATGCAGGTCCTGAATCAATTCAAGTAAGGTTGTGGCATCTCTTCTGTCTGCAGAGCGAAAGTCTTTATAGAGAGCTTCATCCAACAACAGGTTCCATTCACCCATGATGACCAAGTTCTCAGACTCTGGTACGACATTGCGCAGATTGCTGAAAAACTTCGCCTTGGATGATGGATCTGTGGGGCCATACACTGTCATTAGTGTCCAGCTAGTGTTCCCAATTTGCAACCGAACCCATACCTAGCGGCCCCATAGGTCTGATTCTGCATCAACAATGTCTGTTTGCAGATTGCAGTGAAGAAGGATGCCCACTCCATCCCTAGAGCCATGTGCTGGAGACCAGAACTGTGGACCGTTCCACCAATTACCTAACTCCTTCAACTTATCCTCTGATAACTTCGTTTCCTGCCAGCAGATACAGTCTACCTTGTTTGTGAAGAGTCAAGACTTCAGCCTCTTTTTCTTTTTCTGCTCGAGGTATCGCCGATCCCGTGGACATTCCAGGTAGCCAGTTGAAGCTTAACCATTTGCGTTGATTTCCTTCGCTGCTTGTTGGATGCGGTCATCGACTTCTTCATCTCCCCATCTGACTCCAGTTTGACGAGGGGACTGGAGCATTGGGCTATTTCTCTGATGTTCCCTTGAGCGATTTGAGTGCGACTCTGCCCTCCAACCTTCCGCCAATGCGTTCAACAATAAACTTGAATGGAGGTTCCTGGCAATTTTTCGTTAAGCTTCAGCAGCAGCAATGTTGAGATCTCTAGAGCTAATGCTATTGACTCCAACACGTGTTTGTTCCTTTCTCTGAGTGCGTCCAAGGTGAACCATCGTATGCCTGCTTGTGTAAGTGTGTCTGTTGTAGGAGAGTCGGTCCGGGTGTCTATCAGCGGAAAGTAGAACTTCAACGCTTTTCCTTCCAATGGGACTACACAGTTGGCCATAACCGATCGTGGGACAATCCTGATCGGAAATGAGTCCCCATATAAAAACTTTGTACGGGTGATAATCTCTCATGAGAATTGTGACCTCTCCGTGGGGACCGAAAGGAGGTACGATTGCATCAACCGATCCTAAAAAGAACGCTACTTCACCTCCCATCGTGCAAACTAATGGCAATAACTTCCTCTCGATTGGCAGACGATCCTATGCTTGCTGAATTCTGTAGCCCCGTTTGCTGGAGGTATCTGAGTTCACAGTCCGTCCTCTTTGTAAGCCGCCTGAGCTGCCTGTAGACGACTCTGACCGCTTTACCCGCAGGAATCCTGAACCCCTTAATGTTGGGTCATCTCCAATGAGGTCACTGCCCATCTCTACCCTCAACTGTGACTCTGAGGATTGAGAAGAGAGTTCCTCTGCTAACCCACCTTTTTCTCCTCCCAATGGACCTCTTCTTCCCCTGCTCCCGTTTCCCTGCTGGTAGCTCTGGTGCGGAATCTGCCCAAGAGTCCTGCCTCCCCCCTATCTACCTTGTGGGTAGGTGGGGCCCAACTCTGGCCACAGTCTGACTTCGTTTTCTTCCCTGTACCTCTGGTCCTGATTGCACTGTGGTCGAAACGACATAGAGTGGATAACTGGTATTTGTTCCTGCGATGTGGGACAGTGCCGCATAAGGCCCCCACCTCCCCCTTGCGGGTACCAAGAGGATCCATAGTATCCTGAGCCCGAAAGATATGCGGGATGGGGGTGGGACATTGGGAGGGGCCAGGAGGAGGGGTGAGACCACAAAGGCATAAGTGAATTGCCCTGCGGTGGAGGGTAAGTAAGCTGCCCCTGACTTCATCCCCAGCCGTTCGAGATACCATATATGCCCTGTGTCTGTTGTACTGCCCCCGGAGGCCCCGTTGAGCTTACTGGAGCTCCCCGACTCGGCCCTTGAGGAACCTGAACTGGCTGGCCTTGGAACAGGTAAGGTGATGCCGCTGACTAGGGTCCACCGGGCTGAGGCCCTATTGGGGCTACTGGAGGAGCTTGATGGCCACGTGTCGAAGACAGTCTGATCGCAGAGTGAGTCCCCTGCTACCCGCAGTCTGTTGCCTGCACCTGTTGCCTACCTTCCATGGCTTGCTGAGGAGGTTGCTGTTGAGGGAGTCTGGAGTTTGACCAGGTGCGGCGCGGTCTCGTGTCTTCCTGTCTAGGGCAGGTATCTTCAGTGTGAAAATACCATCTGCACTTACGACAAATACCATCTGCACTTACGGCACCAATCCGAGTAAGGAGTACCCACCTCTACTTTCCAAAGTTCCCCTTTGGGGAACTCAATAGTGAGCGAGTCCTCCATCCAGAACCGCGCTTGAGGATCCATGTCGAGTTTAATATTCAACAACTTTGGTTTCGACCTGTCCGCCTCTGGGGGGTGGATGTGTTTCCCTCCCCCAATCAACCCCTCCACTGTAGATGGAAGGTACAACATCACATCCAACGGTACCCTCAACATCACTATCCAAAAGTTTGACTCTGCCTCCCTCAGGCTCAGCTCCTTCAGCTCAGTTTTCGGCATCCAAGGTTTCACTGTTGCCGAATACTCTTTCCCTCTTAGTGACAGGTTCACAGAGCGTTTCTGCACAAGCCATGTCGCTACCTCCACTGCTTTTGCTACATAGGAAATACCATTAGGACTTTCGAATTTCACTCTCCCTCTTCTCACATCCGGATTAAATAACCGACGAGCCATCCAACCGTCCTCATATGCTCGCACCAAGTCTTCTTTTACCCCCCTTGACAGATCTCGCGCCTCGTCCTGAAAGATAAAAATCACTGTTCGCTCTTTCAGCCACGTCTCCTTAATGGCATCCATAGATTCATTCACTTTGAACCTCTTCCCTCTTTCGTCTATCACCACCTGCCCTAGGTCAACCGCTACTTGAAACGTTCCCTCATCGTAACACTGACCTATTGATTGTCTTGCCCTGTCCTCGAATTCCCCAAAAATCGTTTGAGGATACGACTGTGGGGGGGGACTATTCCCTCCCCCTCCTCCCTCATGGACTCTGTCGACCTCCATCCCTAATCCCCGAGTCTCTTGTCCTAAGATGACTGAGGGACCGCCTGTCCCTGAATAGGCTGGTATCTGCAACCGCCAACAACTCACAGTTCAAACCCAGCTGTGTCGGGGATTAAGACCATACGTACACCTCCGAGAGGAACGCCCCTATTCTCGAAGGGCTATTGTCCCTTGGTAGATCCAGTTTATACAGGTCAGTCCCTTAGTCCCTACCTCCTATTCCGGACCCTAGACCTTACCCTTTCCTCACCAAGTTTGACTATTGCGTCGCTCCAATTCCACCGGTGGGAATTCCTGCATCCTCCTCCTTTTGACAGTTACCACTCTCCAACTCAGCCTCGTACTCTGCCCTGCTGCTGGATTCCGTCGGCAATCAGTTTATCCTTAATTAACTAATGATGGCCTCATCTGACTGTTGACTTAGTCCAACTCCGCGGGTGGGGATTACTGCTTTTTTCCTCTGAGGAGCTTCTCCATCCCTAATTTTGACCTTGCCCTACTTCTCAGCTCCATCAAAGAGCTATTAATCTCTGATTATCAAAAGGAGAGCCTTGCTTTTACTGAAGTCCTATCGAAAGCATCTTCTCTTCCAACCCGAGAACTTCAATCTGAGTTGAGGTGGGGTAGGCCTTGGGCCACTCTTCCTCGTCCGAGGTCTTGGAGGTCTATCTGAGCCAGGTAGGGCTACATGACTATCGTATATTGACAACATGGGTTAAGGATGCTGACCGCTTGTTATTGTCGACAATCCCCTCAGACTGCACCACACTTCCTTCAACCTTTCACTTCTCTCTTGGATATGGTGGGTACTTCCTACCTATGTGACGACTTGACAACCTCGCTCCTTCAGTACCGAAAGCAGTGACATACCTGTCAGGTTGAGGGAACTTGACCTCCTGTTTCCACAAGATTGATGATGACATCAGGTCTACCTTATGACTTACCTTGGACAAGGATGGTACGCGAATAGGCGCAACCTTTCTGAAAATAGTGGGGTGATGAACCTTGTCTGTTCCTATACTACTCCCTACTTCCTGCTACCTACTCGGGCCACCTTGAGAGGAGATAATACGACTTTGTCGGTACTCTCGAGGGGAGAGTATAAAAGCTCCACCGTGTCCTGCCGGCGATGGCGGGGTAAATGGCAAGGCAGGGCACAGGGCCGACTCGACAGGACGTCGTCCTGCCCCGGCGCCGGTTCGGAGCGGCAAAAAATTAGCGCTAAGAATAGCGCAGCCGCCAAGCCCTGACGCCCTCTCGCCGAAAGGCTCGCGCCATCAGTTTTTTTTTCTGCATAACATAGTTTTTTTTTGGAGTTAAAAAAAAAAGAAAAAAAGGGCAATGGCCTTGAGGTATTATCATTGGACTAACCAGCCTAGATAAATTCAATATTGTATCTAATTTGACATCGGGTGACCTTGATTGCCTTCAGGGAATCCCCAATGGGGGACACCGGCGAGGGGACAGCCGGTAGCAGAGGGACCGAGCATCATCTGAGTGGCTAGTCGCTGTGCCTCCCCGATTACCCCTCCCCCTATGAACATCAGCAGAGACTGCTTTTTAATGCCCATTGACTTACCGTTAGGGCACAGGTGCGCAACACGTAGTTCGTTTGTTGATGTGCTTCGGGAAGGGTAAGGTAATGATTATGCTGTATGTATGTTTTGTTGTGTTCGTTATTCACAACTCGAAGAGAGTGTGTGTGGGGTCCCGATTGATGCTTTATTCACGATGTTCATGGGACGCTGGACCCAGTTTCCAGCAGGTGGCGCTCCCCATCAATAGACAGGAGAATGTGTGTGCGTGTGTATGTG